AATACCCATGGTTTGAAATGAGAAAAAAAAAAAGAAAAGAAAGCCTTATGTTGGATAGATTTAATAACCTTGCATGACAATTCTTTTTATATTATGTGACAATGGAAATTTCAAACGGGGTCTTATGATTTCTAATTGAGCTTGAAGGCAGTTTCCTAAAATAAGAACTGGCCCCTTCATCAACTGGCTCCCATTAGATTATGCATCTCAAAGTGACCAGCCCTAGTTTCAGAAAGTAGAAAAAATATATATCTATAGCAGCCTCCAGTTTTTCTTGGATTATTAGCTGGTTCTCTGACAGATTTCAATATTTTTCCTATGAATGTAGCTTCGGAATCCCACAAAGCTTCATGCTATCAGGGCTGCCACCACCCAGAAGGCAAGAAGCGGAGGGGGGAAGAGGAGGTCAATCCTCTGCTCTTCCTTTATTTCCAATGAAGATACAGTATAGCAGTGAGGGTCCCAGTGAGATGAAGTGGAACTTGCTGAAACTGCCTGGAAATGTTGAAGATCGGGCAGGGGGGAGAGGTGCCTCTAGTTCATGAGCACATCTGGAGAGGAGACAGGTAGCCTGTGAGCGCCAGGGGCAGCTTTTGGGGCTCTACAATGGATGACAAGGAAATGACACTTTCTACTACTTTTTTAAAATTAACTTTAAATGTCATTTTTATTTTTACTTTTAAATATATTTTAATGATCTCAGAGAGGAAGGGAGTGGGAGAGATAGAAACATCAATGGTGAGAAAGAATCACTGATCAGCTGCCTCCTGCACGCCCCCTACTGGGGATCGAGCTTGCAACCTGGGCATGTGCCCTTGACTGGAATCGAATTCAGGACCCTTCAGTCTTCAGGGTGACGCTTTATGCACTGAGCCAAACCAGCTAGGGCTAAATTTCATTTTTCAATTACAGTTTATATTTAATATTACTTTGTATTAGTTTCAGGTGTACAGCATGGTGGTTAGACAATCATATACTTTACAAAGTGTTCCCCCTGCTCTTTCCAGTGCCCACCTGACACCATACATAATTATTGAAATATTATTGATTATATTCATACAGCTGGGAGTAGAGAAGTTAATCATGTCAACTCCTGTTTGACAACAATTACCTAACAGTGGTTTGAGAATAACAAACTCAAGATGTTCCATCTATTGATAAAGAAAACAGTAAGTATGGTAAGTAGCATCTGCCTAATATGTTTATACTCGATAATTTGTTTATTTAAAAAATAAACCAGCTGGCAGGCAAAATCTAAATCAGTAATCAAAATAAATTTGGGTCATCAGACTCAAAATGTGTCCACTTGTTCTATAGTCATTAAACTACCATTTATATTTAATTCATATTTCTTTAACCTAAAGGGTGCATTTGCAAGTGTTTCTCAGATAGCATCTTTTACTTCAAGACCCCAAAGTACTTTTGACTATATTTTATTTGTATAATTATAAATTAATATAGTGACATACTTTAGGATTATTTAAAGATTCTCATCACTTCTAACTTAATGAGATATGATTGGTGGAATGACTAGCCATGTTAATGAACCTGTCATGATTATCTTTTTTAAAAAATATATTTTATTGATTTTTTACAGAGAGGAAGGGAGAGGGACAGAGAGTTAGAAACATCGATGAGAGAGAAACATCGACCAGCTGCCTCCTGCACACCTCCTACTGGGAAGTCACTGCTACATATTAATGCCTCTCACAAAATACAAATTGATTTTGAATATCTGATTTGGTATTTGCATTCTTTTAAAAAACTTTTTTCTTATTTAATGTAATAGCCAGTAGAGTTGAGACCTGGTTTATTATTATTATTATTATTATTATTATTATTATCATTATTTTAGCAATTTTAGATAATGATGTCCATCTGCCTTTGGAGCAGACTTTCCATATTTGGAGGGAAAGAATCAAAAAGGGCTCTTTGGGTACACAAATATAAAACACGTGCTCTTATTTTTCTTGGAGAAAAGTGAGGTTATCATAAACCCAGACATAGATGCTGCAGTCCATCCTATTAAGTTCTGTTTTGTAATATAAATGGAATGGAATGCATTTTTAGGATGACTGTATTCTCCCAGAATTGGAGAATTTTTTCCTTTAATAAGGACAGGGCCTGCGTGGTTGGAAGAGCCCACACAGTGTTGTCAGAGACTGGACAACCCAGAATTTGGAGGGCAGAGCTCACTCTCTGGGTAGCAGTGAGCATTTCCCCTGAAGGAAATGGATGTTTCCCTGTCACTTCGTTATTCAGTGCTAGCGAGGGAGCAGGAGGTCAGGGGTGAGCAGTAGTCCAGGGAGAGGCCTGGAGATGCTTGGTGAGGTCTGGGTTTCTGGGGACAAGACAGGGAGCTGGGGACGGGAGTTCAGAGCTTGGGGATTGGCCTGGGAGCCCTAAGTGCAACCCTTGTGGTATTAACTCTGCTAGTCTCTGTTATTCTTGGACTCCCTGGGCTTTCAGTTCAACTCCAGGGCCTGGTCTTTACTGTGATTTGGGCATTTGAAAAGCAGGCCAGTGCTCACAATATGAGCCAGATTTGGTGGTTAGGGATCTGCAAAAATGTGGCTGTGCAGGCAGGGATGTGGGCAGTGCAGGGATGTGCCCCATGCCTCCTGGAGCACCAGGACCTACAAGAGGAGAAAGGATAACCTGGCGGAGAGGGGCAGAGGCTTGGACTTAGGGAGCTTGTATATTAAAGGACATTTAGTCACAGTTTAAAGAGGTCTGGGGATAAACGTAGGTTATGTTGAAATAATGTTTGCTCTGAACAGTAGCAGAGAAACCAGCCCGATACACAGTAGACATGCTGCTTCGTTTGACTAATCAAGTACAGTGGGGCCTTGACTTACGAGTGTCCCAACTAACGAGTTTTTTGAGATACCAGCTGTCTCTCTGTTATAGTAATAAGTTTAGTTAGTATAAGATAGTATAATCAGGGGAGAACCAAGATGGCGGCATAGGTTAACGCCGGAGTTTGCTGCTTTGAACAACTACTTCAAAAGTGAAACCAAAAAACGGAGGGGACATCACCCAGAACCACAGGAACGCTGGCTGAGTGGAAGTCCTACAACTAGGAGGAAAGAGAAACGCATACGGACACTCAGAGGAGGCGCAGTGCTGAAGTCAAATTCTGAGGTGCGGAGTGCGCGGAGCGGGCTGGCGGCGGAGGGCGCGGTTGGCGTTTTCAATCAGGAGGGAGTCGAAGAATCTGAGCTCCAGATCCGGGCGAGTCTTTAGGGACCCAGACTCAAACGGGAGAAGCAGGACTGTCTGGCTTCGGTCAGAGTGAGTGCAGCTTTCTCTCTGAGCTTTGCAGCGGGTGCTGGGACTCGGAGAGGCAGAGCCCCTGGGGACAGGACTGAGAGCCGCCATAACTGCTCTCTCCGGCCCACCCTGTTGATCCTGTGCGACCCGCCCCGCCCAAGCCCTGCACACAGGCATTTGCCGGATAGCCTCAGGCAAAGGCTAGATTAGCACCTCCCTAGAGGACAGAAGTTCTCTCACTGCAGACACAGCTGATTCTCATAGCCACTTGGCCTGGAGGTCAAACCCTCCCTGGAATTAGCTACAACAATCAAGATTTAACTATAAGACTTCGAACAAAGACCACGAGGGGGTGCACCAAGGAAGCATAACAAAATGCGGAGACAAAGAAACAGGACAGAATTGTCAATGGAAGATATAGAGTTCAGAACCACACTTTTAAGGTCTCTCAAGAACTGTTTAGAAGCCGCCGATAAACTTAATGAGATCTACAAGAAAACTAATGAGACCCTCGATCTTATATTGGGGAACCAACTAGAAATTAAGCATACACGGACTGAAATAACGAATATTATACAGACTCCCGACAGCAGACCAGAGGAGCGCAAGAATCAAGTCAATGACTTGAAATGCGAGGAAGCAAAAAACACCCAACCGGAAAAGCAAAATGAAAAAAGAATCCAAAAATGCGAGGATAGTGTAAGGAGCCTCTGGGACAGCTTCAAGCGTACCAACATCAGAATTATAGGGGTGCCAGAAGATGAGAGAGAGCAAGATATTGAAAACCTATTTGAAGAAATAATGACAGAAAACTTCCCCCACCTGGTGAAAGAAATGAACTTACAGGTCCAAGAAGCGCGGAGAACCCCAAACAAAAGGAATCCAAAGAGGACCACACCAAGACACATCATCATTAAAATGCCAAGAGCAAAAGATAAAGAGAGAATCTTAAAAACAGCAAGAGAAAGAAACTCAGTTACCTACAAGGGAATACCCATACGACTGTCAGCTGATTTCTCAACAGAAACTTTGCAGGCCAGAAGGGAGTGGCAAGAAATATTCAAAGTGATGAATACCAAGAACCTACAACCAAGATTACTTTATCCAGCAAAGCTATCATTCAGAATTGAAGGTCAGATAAAGAGCTTCACAGATAAGGAAAAGCTAAAGGAGTTCATCACCACCAAGCCAGGATTATATGAAATGCTGAAAGGTATCCTTTAAGAAGAGGAAGAGGAAGAAAAAGGTAAAGATACAAATTATGAACAACAAATATGCATCTATCAACAAGTGAATCTAAGAATCAAGTGAATAAATAATCTGATGAACAGAATGAACTGTTGATTATAATAGAATCAGGGACATAGAAAGGGAATAGACTGACTATTCCTGGGGGGGAAAGGGGTGTGGGAGATGCGGGAAGAGACTGGACAAAAATCGTGCACCTATGGATGAGGACAGTGGGTGGGGAGTGAGGGCGGAGGGTGGGGCGGGAACTGGGAGGAGGGGAGTTATGGGGGGAAAAAAAAAGAGGAACAAATGTAATAATCTGAACAATAAAGATTTAAATTAAAAAAAAGACAGTATAATCAAATTTCATTTTTTTATTAGAGTGAATTTTAAACTTTACTTAGAAGAGGAACTTAATTTGTGTGTGTGTGGGTGTGTGAGACCCTGATAAATAACTTGTAACGCCCTGCATGTTAACTCCTGACAAATAACTTGTAACTCCTGACCAACAACTCCCTGCGTGTGCACTCCTGACAAGTACCTTGTAACCCCCTGTGTGTGTATCCTGATAAGCCCAGAAGGCCACCGGAGCACACTGATATGAGACACTGAAGAAGCCCACCCATGGGGTATAAAAGAAGGACTCTCACAGCAGCAGTTAGACGTCTGTCTGACCTCCACAGACAAGCCGTTCTCCTCCCCCCTGGAAACTGCCAAACTGCCATTCCTGCTCTGCCTTTGAGCCCAGGCTGTTAAGAAGCCTCTCTTTGAGTCAAGAGACCAAGCTCCTTGCCGCGGCGTATTTTGACGACCTCTGCGTGTCTCTGGGTGGCCTGCCAAGGACTGAAACCCATCAGCTCTCTGGTAAATAAACCTGTGTGATTTCTTGCATTGTTTATCCCTGTGTCTTCTCTCTTCTTAGTTTTTGGTTAAGCTTGGCCATATTAATTAATAGTAAGTACCCTTTGACGTCTGTATTGGTATATCCAAATGAGGCGCTCTGGGTCACCTGTGCATACGTTCCCATAGATTACTGGAACACTCTTGGCCGAGTTTTTGCATTGAGTTGATAGAGTAATTTGAGTTAACGAGCTCCTTAACAAGGTCCTTAACGAGCTTGGTCTCGGAATGAATTAAACTCGTAAGTCAAGGCCCCACTATATTTCTCAAACATAAGAAACAGACCTTCATAAAGAAATAGAAGTCTTATGATTCTCAGTGTTGTTTTTGTTATATTGCTTAAGGATGTAAATATATAAAACTAGTTAAAAGGTCTTTACCCTTACAGTTCTTAGTCAACCATAAAACCAAGCCAAATTTTAAAGTCAGTATAAGCTAAAGTACAAAAGCACATGTTTATTAAATTGTTTATTAACGATAGCAAATTACTGTACATGAAGATGTCGTTTTGGGGAAACTCAGTGGCCAAGATGGTTAAGAGTGGAAGTGAACAGGTTTAGTCCCAGTTCTAGGTTTTGACCTTAGCAAGCTAGAGAGCGCTTATTAGGGTAAGTCTTCTATAGAAATAATTGCAAAATTCCCAAACGCTGTTGTCTACTTCAGAATGGGCAGGTCTCAGATTTAAGAACAACAATAATAATAAATTCTGCCAGTGACAATCCTCAAAGGCCGGTTTTGATGATATACCACTTGATAACCATATAAAGCTGCCCTATATGCTCAAAGATGAGGTTACATCTGTGGCATTTTTGAAAATATGCCTTTCACCGGAATCTAATACACTCTGGTGCGAGCCAGAAGCAGAACAGCTTCCTATGCATTTCCTGTCTGCACACTGGTACAAACAAAGATATTTGCTCAGTGCCTAGGGGAATACACCTCTAGGCTCAGTGAGTCCTGCCTACGTCATCATGAACATGTGTTAGCTCAATTACCCCACCCCTTTGTTTTGTCCACTGTAAGACCATCATCCACATACTGTGGCACATCATTGTCCTCTGTTTGATGCAAATGTGAACAGAAAACAACATTGCAATGCAAGCACCGAATGCTCTGAGATGTAGGGCTTTCCTGACCAGGGAGAGATTGCCCCTTCAGAATTAGCTGATTCCTAGAAATAGTAAATGACTTGCCTGAGAGTGAGCCGTTGATATGCAAACCAACGGATCCTGAGTCCACTCTGCCCCCCTGACTAGCTCTTGCACTGCAAGAGGCAGTATTTCTCTACCTCAATCATCCCAGAGCCGGGTACCAACCACCCCTATAGCCTATAACCCACCAAAATTGTTCAAACCATCCAATCCTAAACCTGCTCACTGCTTACTTCGCCTCAAGCATTACGTCCTATAAAAACCACAAGGAAGGCTTTTGCTCATGCTTTCCTCTTATTCAGTGGTTCTCAACCTTGGCTGCACATTAAAATCACCTACGAATCTTTTTTAAATCCTGATTTCTGGGCCTCATTCTCTGGAAATTCTGTTTCTTTGTTATGGGGTGAGGCCACAACATTAGTATCAAAGAAACAGAATTTCCGGAGGATGAGGCCCAGAAATCAGGATTTTTAAAAGATTCCCAGGTTATTCTAATGTGCAGCCAAGGTTGAGAACCACTGCTCTTACTCCTTCTGACTCCTGACCAACCCTGGTGCTTCCCCACATGTCCCTGTATAATTTAGCATGCCCCTTCCTTTCAGGAATTCTAAGTAACCAAATACCTTTTCAGTGGCAATCATCTGTTGCTTCACCATACCTGGATAAAACCATAATCACAGGTACTTGTGAAAACAATTGGTAACCTGCTCCTGCTATGGTTGGAGGGAAAGATGGTGAGCTCCAGAACAGGCGCCTGGTTTCAGTTGTCTTTAAATCCCGAAGGCTAGCACACTATTTGGAGTCACTGTAAGCCTCAAGACCGTGACAGGATCAATGAGGTAGGTCCTAACACACCTTGACTGTTACAACCATTGAACAAAACAAAACAAAATAAAAACTCGCTGGATCCACAAATCTAACATGGCAATGAACGTTCCCCCTCATCAGTACAGACAGATAGGTCTGCAAGATGCATGGTTATCACGGGGGGTGGGGGCAGAATAAATAACTGTGTAATGAATCACATATCATATCAAGTTCTATCTTCCTAACAGGGTCATCACTGACGGAGGTATCGTGGTTTTAAAACATATCCGCAAATTCTTTGACACTCCTCCCCTCAAGAGGTGGTTTTCTTTTCCTGCTTCTTTGCGTGACTGGTAAACTTTGATTGGATGCCAGACATTCTGACTCTATCTCATTGGGTGCTGGATATTTTTGTCTCCCTATAAATATTCTGGGACACAGTTAAGTTGTCTGAAAACAGTTTGATCCTCTCAGGTCTTGCTTTGAAGATGTGTTGGGTAGGACCAGGGCAGCACTGAGTCTAGAGATCACTTCCCCCGCTGTGAAGGTAAGACTTCTCTGCGTACTCTACCCAATAACCTGTGAGTTATGAAATGTTCCAGTCTGGCTGGTAGAAACAGGCGCTCTTCCTGGATCTGGGCCAATGTGAATACTGCTCTTTCTAATCCTTCCAGAAAGTTCTTTTCCCAGCATTGGGTGGTCTGTTCACAACGTACATGGATCAATGTGCTGCTTTAAAAGGGACCCTGTGCAGAGCTCTGCAGCTCCCTCTCTAAGCAGCTCCCTCTTCCCCAGCACCCTGCCCCATGAACTTGAGTCTCCCCAGACTCTTTGTCTCCTCAACTTAGGGAGTCCACTGGGCTCCTCTGGGTTCCCCTTCCTGTGCTAATGGCCTGGAGACTATTCAGGTAGTTGCTGGGACCATGTAGGGTTCACCTTGTTGGTGTCCCATTTCTTAGGGGTTACTATCCTTCATTGTCTAATTTCAGTGTCTTGAAAAATATTATTTCATTTAACTTATGATTTTTTTAGTGTGTGTTTTTTGGTTTTTTGTTATTGTTTAGTTGTTGTTGGTGGTTGTGGTGGTGGTGGTGGTGGTGGTGGTGGTGGAGGTGTGTGTGTGTGTGTGTGTGTGTGTGCACGCGTTGTTGGGCAGGCAGGTACTTTGAATTCTGTTACTCCATCTTGGCCAGAACTAGACATTCCCAAAGTGTTTCAGAAAGTACTTTGAGCATCTACACTCCCAACCACATTGTACAGGAGTTGCTGTTGCTTTACATCTTTATACTGTTGGCATTTTCAGACTTTCTAATTGTTTTAGGGATTAAACTAGTTCACATAAGGGATTTGAAGTGATGTTCCTCACAATACAATCTAAAATTGAAAAAAGAGAGGAAATACTTAACCTAAAGGGATGAATCTCTACTCATGAAATTTCAGGCAGAAAGGGAATATGCGAGTACTGGGGGAATTCAGCTCACTACTCTTTACCACTAGAGTATTTCCATTTGTTTATTTAAGGAGAGCAAAAGTTGTTAACACATTAAAACTAACAGTTCTGTGAAATGGAGGTAATGTTAATGCCTACTACAAATCTTACAAGCATTTAATTCCATGAACAGAGAGAACCCTGGAGATTCTTGGCAAAAATGTCCTGCGTAAAGTCCAGGGGAAGACACACAGATGGATGCGCGCGTACACACAGGATGTCCTGGGCCAGAGGAGCAGCATCAGCTGGCCGCTTCGGTCACTTGTCACGCCCTTCTCTCTGGGGACTGCATTGCCACCGCTAAAAGCACTTATAATTGTTTCTTTGAAAATGGCCATATTCTCCAGAGAAGCTCTCAGGCAAGAAATCTAATTATCTTGGAATTATTGAATTCTCTGGGTTACCGTCTTCTAGGTAGGCAGACAGAGTCTTTATTTCATTTTTAGAAAGGTTGTTTGCTGTTACACATAATGGACTGTTTGTCCTCTTCCTCCCACCATGGTTTGGAGAGAGCAGCAGTGGAATTTATCAATCCCTCCTCTACACCTGGCCTTCATCAAACCCTGCAAACAACCAACACTGTGTAGAAGCATTTGGTAAAAAAAAAAAAAAAAAAAAGCAAAGCTTTGGTAGTGAGCATACTTATTAAACCAGAGAAAATGTCTCTACAATCTTCATTTTATTTTGTTTTTAGTATTTGTACATCCACAGTCCTCATTCTGCAATAACATTTGTTTTGTGGTTGCTGACGGATGTGATAAAACAGTCCAAGATCTGCTTTCCACAGTTCTTTACAACAGACCAAAATAACATTCTTGTTCACGCGAGGATAGCCCAGCGTTGGCGTGCATTCTGGCCAACTAGCCGAGGGTGAACAGAACGTCCGTGGTCAATTTCTCAGTGTTAGAATATCCTCTTTATAGTTACAAAATTGCTTCCTCCAAGGACAAAAACAAAGCTGCTTTATGCTACTTTTTCACTTTGTCTAACTCAGAGGTTGCGAGTCACAAGAAATGCGAGACACGGGTAATCACGGCATTTGTTTCTGGAAATAAAATGGTCTTACTTCCTTGTCAATGTGAGTGCCAGGACTTCACTGATGAAAATTAAGTAAAGGGTTTCCACCAAAGAACTTTCTTTTGGAGGCTTTAAAATTCAAACTGCCATCAAGTCTTCCACATAATAAAGCATGTTTTGAAGTTTCTCAGATTTCTTTAAAATGGGCATTTATATCTTTTATGTACTCCTCAAGTAATATTTGCAGCAGAGAGAGGCCATTCCAATTTGCTGACACTAATTAGAGTTGTGTCTTCCATTTGCTCTGATTAGACATGAGGAATGAGAGAGGACCAGTCAGGATAGTTTCAATCAATGTTAGTTCCTATTCAGTGTCAAGCCTGCCTCTGAAAAACCTTCCATATCCAAAACCGGGACATATCTTAAAAATGAGTCCTCACCATAGCTGGTCTGGCTCAGTGGATAAAGCGTCAGCCTGCAGACTGAAGGGTCCCAGATTTTAATCTGGTCAAGGGCACATGCCCAGGTTGTGGACTTGATTCCCAGTGTGAAGCGTGCAGGAGGCAGCCGATCAATGATTCTCTCTCATCCGTGAAGTTTCTATCTCCCTCTCCCTTCCTCTCTGAAATCAATAAAAAATATATATTAAAAACAAAAACGAGTCCTCTCATCATGCCATTTCCTTTCTTCATGAGACTCTGGTGGATCCCAAACCTGACTGCAGGGTCCTCAATTAGAATGAAACCACTCATTTTAAAGTTGAAAAGAAACATTCTTGCCAAATGGATCTGGAAGCTCCCAGAGTACAGTTAGCCTCAGAGCCTCTAGAAGGAAACTTCAGAATCACCCTCAGTACACCCTTCCCTTCCTCCCACGTTCAACAACCAATGGGCTACCTTAAAAACATCTCTTCCCATGTCCAGCGAGAGCTGCTCTCTTCATGCCCTACCATCACTCATGTGCATACAGGCCCCAATGAGTCTCCCTCCTGCCTGTCTCTCTTCAGTTACATCGGCCTTTCAGACACGTGACCAGCACTGGATCGCTTCTGTGCATAGGTGTCTCCCCCTTTTGTCCTGGCGCTTGGCTTTTAGATGGTCTTCTGTGGGGAACCCTAAGGGCTAAGCCGACTGAGCCCCAAAGCTCCTTCCCTCCTCTTCAAAGGAGCTCCTCCTCCTCTATGACTTGTGTTTTGGATCTTGGATGGAATATTTCATTGAAAAGGAAGCATGCTCATTAAACAAACAAACCTACAAAGCACTGGCCACAAGATAAAATCTAACTTCCTTACCATGACATGGAGGTCTTCTACGGAAAGTCCCATCCTATCCAGGAGCCTCATCTTCCGTTTCTCCCAGTAACCTCTGCTCCAAGCCCTGATCAAGGGCATGACCTCTGACATGTCAGGGTTCCCACACTCCTTATTGGGTATACATTTCTGCACTTACCTCCCTAAAGAACTCCTAGCAACCTTGAAGACACAGCCCATTTGTTAATTCTTCATTAAACTTTCCTCAACTTTCCCAGTTAATTATTCCCATCTTTGTGCTCCCATCATATTATCATTGCAATCTCCTACATTGCATTGTCATTTTATATGTCTTTCTTCCTGGAACCTACCGTGTCTCATTGATCTTCAGATCCCTGGCATTGACAAGAGACACATGAAAACATGCTCAAAGTCACTAATCATCTGAGAGATGCAAATCAAAACGACAATGCGGTACCATCTCACACCTGTCAGAACAGCTATCATCAACAAATCAACAAACGACCAAGTGCTGGCAAGGATGTGGAGAAAAAGGAACCCTCGTGCACTGCTGGTGGGAATGCAGACTGGTGCAGCCATTGTGGAGAACAGTATGGGATTTCCTCAAAAAACTAAAAATGAAACTCCCATTTGACCCAGTGATCCTACTTCTAGGAATGTATCCCAAGAAACCAGAAACACCAATCACAGAGGATATATGCAACCCTATGTTCATAGCAGCACAATTCACCATAGCTAAGATTTGGAAACAGTGTAAATGCCCATCAGCAGATGAGTGGATTAAAAAACTGTGGTACATCTACACAATGGAATACTACGCTGCGGTACAAAAGAAGGAATTCTTACCATTTGCAACAGTATGGATGGAACTGTAGAGCATTATGCTAAGCGAAATAAGCCAATCAGAGAAAGATAAATACCACATGATCTCACTCATTAATGGAATATAATGAACAACATTAACTGATGAACAAAAACAGACCCAGAGGCAGAGAAGCATCAATCAGACCGTCAAACCTCAGAGGGAAGGTAGGGGAGGGTGGGGGTAAGGGGAAGAGATCAACCAAAGGATTTGTATGCATGCATATGAGCCTAACCAATGGACACAGACACCAGGGGGGTGAGGGCATGAGCGGAGGGGTGGGGGTGGGGGGGCAATGGGGGAATACCTTATGTAATACCTTATGTAATACATATGTAATACCTTAATCAATAAAGAAAAAAAAAATCCCTGGCATTGAGCACAGCTTTCTTGGCACATAGGAGGCATTCTCAATTTAATGAATGCTGTCGTGTTGTATAAGACCAAACCTTTCCCCCAATCACTTTTATTAATGTCTGTATATGAGATTTTCTAAATTCAAATTATCAAATAAACAAAAACAATCCACCTAAAATATACTAGAAAATGAAAAGGACCTTTGAAGAGGGGAAGAATGTGGGCTGACGGAACAAAACTAAGAATCACAACTGACCAACTGACCACGTCTGAGATTTGCAAAGGTCAGCTATTTGCACACACTTGGAAACTCTCAGGAGTCTGTAAGCACCAGAGTGAGCTGGCTTTGAAGAATGAAACTAACATTTTCCCCTTTACTTTAGGTACAGCTGAGTCTCACTAATTCAGACTAAAATGTGGGACAACTGTTTGAATTAATGAAATTCAGTATTATAGGATGTTTTATATGTAGTTGCCGTTTTAACACTGTAGACTTTGTTTAATGAAAGTACTGGATTATCCTATGCAAACTAAATTGTTAATCATTTAAAAATAGTCCAGTCTACCATTTGTCTGTATCATTCATTCCATCACACACCTTATTTTTCAAAGATAAGTCAAAGGGAAACTTCTTAACACTTGTTTGGATGATCACGACTCTGAACTAGGTTCCTATGAATCAATAACATTTCAACATAAACGTCTTTTTTTCAGCAAATATGCATTAATGCATAGTATTCCTGGAGGCTGGAATGAACCAGGCTAGGAAGAAGCTGCTCTGTGCTCACTTCATGTTTCCAAATTATTTTCATGGTGAATTTAGCCAGTTTTCCATAGCTCATGTAACTCCAGGCTGGCTTGAGTTTCCTGCTTCCTTCTTTGGCAAGACTGCACCAAACCTTTTCAAGAGATGTGTTCTTACTTAGAGAAAAGGAAATATCGGATCCAGGCTGTTTTACATGCGCTAGATGCCAAGCACCAAACAAAGCAGCTCAGCTTTTCAGATTGGATGCTGTAACTGTAGCCACTTGAGCAAAAGCTCTATCCCTGGACAAGCCAAGTTAAATAAGGCAGAATTAGGGAGCATTAAACTGATCTCCAAGTCTAGTGTTCATAAATCTGCATGAAAAAGCTCTGAATCAAAGAAAATAAATTTAAAATGTGTCATACTGGTTCTCATCCAATGGATCTGCGTGTTTTGGAGGAGAAACACATGGCTTGGTGTAACTGCGAGGACTGTCTCTTCTCGGTGCAGGTTGAGTTTCAGGCTGACTGAGCAGGGGGAGACAAGAAAAAGCTGGGTTCTAGAAGACAGCACCTGAGAGCACACACTTGGAATTATTGCTTCTACGTAAGGAAGAGGAGGGAACCGTCTCATAGATGTCTTGAGAACCATGACATCAGAGTGACTTTCAGAGAGGAACATGGGAGATCTACTGCCTCATCTATCACCAGATGCTCATCTCAGGCACAAGGATACAAAACTGTGAAGAATCAGACATGTGTCATAGGTCCTAAGACACATGTTCGGTGAATTTTGAGCCCTTGAGTAGAGGAAACTTACTAAGGTCTGTTAAGTGAGAGGGAGTTGTATTGAGGAGGTTGATTTTATCACAAATGCAGTGCACTGAGTACAGCAAATGACTTCTGGCTATAACTAAGGACCACCCACTGCATAACAATACTGGACATGAAGCACATACAGTATAATGAGAAGAGTGCCCCCTAGGGTAGTGCCATGCAGAGCCCCTTCTCCACAGCACAGTCCAACATATGGACCTACCTGCTTGGCTGCAGTTGACTAGACCAGGGATAAATGCTTGACCATGCTGAGCCAATCAGAGCAATCAGATTCTTTCTTTAGGAATTTGGATTAAGAAATTTCCAATTAATATATAAAGACAAAGTCAACTGTTATCTTCTGGAACAGGGTGTGTATATGTGTTGGGTGGTGACTGGCAAGGATGAATCTCTGAGGTTGCATATTTTGCAGAGGGAAAAGAGTGTAGCCAATAACTAGAGAGAAGTAGCAACGAGAGACAGAAGGAGGACCGTCCTCACAGCTTCTCTGTTCCTGGCTGCAGCCCTCTCCCGAGGTCCAGCTGCATTTCT